GCCCCTTAAATTAGAGAAGCAGAGTCCATGTGTATTTTGCTCATTCACTTGCTTTGTTTTTTATAGGGAATGGAGGCGAGACCAAATGTTGCTGCACAGAATTGAAAATGCAAGTAAGATTCAGTCCAAGCAGTAGTTGCTTTTATGTTTCCAGAATTTAAAAGAAAACCTATGTGGGAAGCAAATGGGAGTAGGGAGATAGCAGCTAACTGAACCCAGAAGATATGCAAAGTGAATATCCCAACACTTTTTTTAGTATTTTTTTTTATACACAGTAATAATTAGAGCACCCTGAAACCAAGAGAGGATAGTGTATAGGTCACACAGACTTTGTTAGTCTTATGTTTTGCCACACATACAGCTCTGGTTTTCTTCTTTCTAGAGTATGAAGGCTCAGGAGTGTTACCTTTGTCTGTTGTGCAAAGGTAGTTGAGGTGTTTTGCATAAACTGTGTCATTTGGACAAAGGGCAGCTGGATTTTTTTCAGTAATATGGATGTGTTTTGCTGTGGATACAACTTGGCAGACAGTTGCACATGTAAGAAAATTCTTCCCATGTGTATTTCAGTTACAGACACTAATATGTGTCACAGTTTCAGTCATTGAGCTAGGGCTGAGAATCTGAATTTGGTGAAATATTGGAATTTGTAACAGTGTTTGCCAGTTGCAATAGTTTGGTTTTTTTTTTTTAATGCAGGGTGTCTTACAGATATGGCATATTCCTGTAATTTTTGAGAACTTTTGGGTTTTAAGCTTTCTCATTTTTGTTTTAACTTAGTCTGTTTATGAAAAAATAGAACTTTAGATTACTAAAAGTAATTTAAAGTATACCAGAAAAGATGCATCAGGCTTTCTCAAAGTGTTTGTCTTTGTAGAGGTATGAGCAAAAATTTAAATTTTAAAGACAGAAACCCTTTTCAAGGGTGGTTCAAGCTTCCCCCTCTCTCTTCAGCCAAAGGGAGCAAGGTCAAAAGCAAAAATTCACGCTATGGTATTTTGGAGGTAGGAAAAAAACATTTATGTTCAAGGTCACTTAGACCATCACTGCTTCAGAGTGAGCACAGTTACGAAGCATTTTAGTGTCAGAAAGGCAGTAGAACTATGCTGTTCCTGACTGTAGTTGATTTTTCTGTCCCACTGGAGGCTGTTGAGCCTCTTTTTCCCTCCCCACTCTGTATCTTGTTGATCTTCCTGTCTGATTTAACTAATGTTTTTTTATGACTTTAAGTTGGTCACTTTGTTTTCTGTCATCCTGCTTTACTTGGGAAAGTTTGGCTCAAAGTCTCCTGACAAAGACAAGAGAGGAGATTCCAATATAACTGAAGACATCAGGAAATAGACATGTACGAATAACCAAATTTAAGATCCTGATCTCAATCCTAATTTGTATTCCATCGGTTTGGTTCAAGGATGTTTCTTCAGAAAAAAAAGGTGGGGGGGCAGGTGGAAGTCACCTGCAGATCTGCTGGCTTTTTCTCCCTCCAGAAGATTTTACAGCAGAAAGGATCTGCATATTCATGGAACTACTATGGGACTTAGCTGAGTTTGTTTTAGGATCTACCCTAATCTGAATCAGCAATTTAAAAAAATGGTATATTTCCATATTTCTAATTCTTTCTGCTTATTCCACAGCTTAAAAAGCATGAACAGGTCCTACTCTTCCTTTTAAACAACTATGGAAATCCGAAGGGATTCACTGAAATGAAAAAACTCTTGGACCACTAAGTCTGACATGTGCTGTTTCATTTGTATGTATATCAGGTTGCTGCTGTTCCTTTTTTGTTCCATTGCATTGTGAGTCAATTCTCTGAACTTATATTTGAAATTATTGTAATTGTAAAGCTTGCTTCAACTTTGGTATCATAAAATTTTACTTTAAAAACTCTATCTTCTCTTGATTCATCTTCTTTCAACTTAATTTCTGGTCTGAAGTTAGACTGAAAATTCATAATAAACTTGGTTTCAGTATCATTAAAGACTGAATCTTGTCATGGACTGCATATAGGTAGTTCTCTCTAAAATCAGTAAACATTTAAATGCGCACAGTTCTTTATTTACACTTGTGCTGCATAATGTGTATCTGTGAATATTGTTTCAAAGTAAATTGTATTAGAGCTGCTTCATCTGTAGCTCCATTGTCAGCACTTCTACCCCATCAAGTTTTTTTACGCACTTTTTTTTATTTACAAGAGCATTGCTCAGTCATAGTGTATCCATCACAGTAGCTATCTGCTCCTTCTGCCTGCAGTGCAGCTGGCCCTTAGGATGGGTCAGGTATAACTTGAAGTGGGATTCAGCACCCACCAGGCTCTGCCAGACCCTGTTTGATAGCTGCGGCCAGGTTACTATAACCTCCTGACAACTGCATTACCCTCTAAAAAGAAATTCAAGATTAACAGCTAGAGGTTGATTTAGTTAGCACTCTCATCTCTTAAATTTACCTGGTAGGGAAGAGCTGAAAGTACAGTAACAGTGATACTGTTTTAGAGTTACAGGTTTTTAACAGCTAAGTTGTGGTAACCCTATTGTGTCAGACAGAAACAGGCTTTCCAAAGCTGGTGCAACTGTATTTAAAATTGATTGCTGCTGCTTTTTCCCTTGGCTTTTAGTGGGAGAGCTGCTTTTTGGTGGTGGGTGTGCAGTGGGGTGAAATCTAGCCTGAAGGCCTCTCCTTTCACTCAGTCAGCTCTTTGCAGCACAGAGAACAAGTAAACACCAAGCAAGGTCCTGGTGCTGCATGCCTGAGGCACAGCTCATCTTGTGTCCTTATTCTTGCTATGGAGTTCTTGCATTGCTCAGCTTTTGAGGGTAAGGACTGTTTATGAGGTGAGTATGGTAGGCACTCCTGTCCTGCTGGAGAAAAGTGAAAGGCAGAGCAAGGAAAATGAAAAGCAGGATGAGGAGGGAATGGGATCTCCTGCTGTAGTATAGCTTCTGTTAGGGGAATAATCTTATCACTAAAATTCCCCTTTTTTCTTAGAAAATGTATCTCTTTATGACTCCAAAGTATACAAATTTCAAAGAATATTAACTTGTAGAGTTCCTTCCTGTTCTCTATGATCCTTATTGTAAAAAAAAAAAAAACAAAAACAAAAACAAAAAAAAAAAACCCAAAAAACCAAAAAAGAAACCCAAAAAACACCCATAAAAACCCAACGAAACAACAAAACCATCCCAAAACAACAACACAGCCCTCTCGAGGAACCCAAAAAATAAAAAAACCACCCCCTAATTTTTAAAATGGGCCCCTTATGTAATTCCTCTAAGTCTGTGTACTAGGTATGAATATGGTACTTCTACTCACAGGTGCAGAAGAGTTTGCTGTGGAAAAACAAGTACTAGGGAAAACCTTCTCAACTAAAAGTTCACTTCTGAATTAAGTTTCTTTAGAGCTGTTGGTGGTGCAAAGTAACCTGCAGTCTGTGGTTTTACTTCTGCTCTGCACTGGTGCCAGGTTTGTTCGTTGTTCTCCAGGGCTGCTGGCATTTTCAGTTCTACTTGGTCTATGAGATGAGCAGATACAGCAGTGCAACTCTTAAATGTAAACTTGAGTATGGGGTTTGTTTGTTGTGAAAAAAAATCCAAATCCTGATTGTTTAAGTGTAGAATGTGATGAGGAGTCTGTCACAGCTGATCACAGTATAAATCCAGGTGTGAAGGAGGCTGCTCACAAACCCATTAGCTGTGCAAGGGACACACAACACCAAGTCTTGCACAGAAAAGGTAAAATGCGACTCAAACTGCTTTTATTTTTTTTCCCTTTTTTTAGTTGATAGCAACATCAGCCTCAGAGCTTGCGGACCCTGTGGGAAAGCAGAGGCGCCGGAGCTGGGCGTGCAGCGAGGGCTGCGGGTCCGTGCCAGCCCCGCGGCAGAAGGGCAAGAGCGACAGCGGGGAGAGCAGCCC